CCTTTTCCTGGATTTGGAGGCTGCTCTCTTGTTCTTGTCTGCTTTGGCCTTTTTTCCTTTTTTGCTTTTTTGGGAGCTCTCGTAGTCGCTGTCGGCTTTGCCATCATCGGCTCCTACATCATCATCCTCACTGCCAAAATCCTCATCTGCAAGGAAAAACCACCAAAATGAACATTTTTGAATTTTTTCTACAGGGAAATGATCAATCTATCTAAATTTTATAGCATCATCACATAACACACAAAAAAAAAAACAAATTATCCCAAAGCAATGTATGACTTAAATCAAAAAGAAATCAAAATAATTTAATTTTTGTCTCAAATTCTACTCCTGAACTGTCCCAGATGTGATTTAAAAAAATCAGGATAATGCTGTTATTACCTGCTGAGTGTGAATCATCTTTCTTGGTCTTCACATCTTTGTCTTCTGAGTCCTCACTGCAAACACAAAGATAAATCTGAATATTTGTCCCAGATTTATTTCAGTCCCTCTTGTGTGGAAAATAAAAAATTGTAAAGAGAAAATGATGTCCAAGCTGAGAATTTTCATTTTTTCTGGACATGCTTTGGGATTACTCAGCTGGATGTGGAGTTGTCATGGTTGGGAAGATTTCAAATTTTTTTTTTGAAATTTAAAAAAAAAATAAAATTTTATTTTTCCTTATTTTTCTCCTTTTTTTCCTCTTTCCCCCCCTCTTTTTTTTCCCCTTTTTTTCTCCTTTTCTTCCTCTTTTTTCCTTCTTTCCTCTTTTTTTTTTTAATTTTAAAATTTTAAAATTTTAAATTTTTTTCAATTTAATTTAAATTTTTTTTTAAATTTAAAAAAAAAAAATTAAATGTAAGGGAAAACAGAGGACATGGTGTTAAGTACAGGTTTGGGCAGAATATCACAGGTAAAGTGTTTTGAATCTTTTATCAAATTCAAATTTCAAATAAAAATTCAAATTTTTAATCCCAGAAAAAATTCAATCAGGAAATAATCAGGTTGAGGTGAAGCAACCCACAAG